ATAAAAAAAAACATTCATTACAAATTATCACAATCACAGAAGGATTTTTAATAGTAAATAACATATATTTAGATTTGTATAGTTAATGAAACATGTTTATATTTATAAAAAGCACTTGTTTATGTATCTATAATTAGGTGGAGAAAACAGCTGATGGGGTTAAGAGTCGTTCCGGAGGCACGACCTGAGCCGTTTGAGCAGTACGACTCCGTCTTGATGTCCCGTCCTCCTTTTCTCTCGTTAACACATTCGGAACGTCGTCCCTCTTCTTGAGAGATGTCTTGCCCGAAAAGCTCGTACTGTTGGAGACATGGACCGCCATTTCGCTAACCAGCAAATTTGTTGCACCGCTGCAGAGACGGTGGGATGCATCATTCTGTGGAAGGTGTTTGGGGCTTTTCGAAATTCCAGTTTTGGTTAAGTTCAGGCATGACACTGATAGGTCAATGGGTCCTCCCTTCATTTTATCCTGAGAGATCGAGGGGAAATTTTTAATTTCTTGTTATATCTGTATTTAAATTTAAATGTATTTCAATTAAAATTTTACTGACGATTAAGTTGGTCCTTCAGTGATAAAGGATGGAAAGAAATACGGAAGAAATACGGACTGCATCCAGTCTAATTTGTATGAGTGAGTCTCAACTAATCCTCAAACTGGAGATTGGTCTTAAGACGGCGTGTCAGCTTTATCCAGATGGGCTATTATCTAATCTAAATAACATTGCAGCACGGATGTAAACATCGTCTAAACATTAAAGCTTCACTGGCAAGTCTTTGGATTAGTTATGATTTTTTCCAGGCAATGTTTTAATAACATATTGATATAAACATTATTACAGCATCAAGCTACCTTACCTGATGTTTGATACGCTTCCTGTACTCTCTGATGTAGAAGTCAGTGAAGAGGACGAAGAAGAGGAGAGCCATGCCGCTCACCCAGGCCAGCAACACCGATGGGATGGCACACTCCACAAACATTACCTACAATGTATGTTTCACGTCAATGATTTTCCTAAATACCATCTAACTGAGGAGGCCCATCTAAATATCATCTAACTGAGGAGGACCATCTAAATATCATCTAACTGAGGAGGACCATCTAAATATCATCTAACTGAGGAGGACCATCTAAATATCATCTAACTAGGAGGACCCTTTTTGATGTAAATTTTATAAGACAAATACACAAGTTGCAAAATAAGAATTAATTGAGACCACGTTTATGCTCAGTGTAGAGCTCCACTAAATCGTGAAGACTTGATAGAGCTCTACAAACAAGTACCGTTTGCGCAATAAAGCTTTGTCCTCTATGTTTTTCTTCATGCATGTCGGCATTACGCTATTAAGTCAAAATATTTTGCAAACTATTAGATCATTTAAACACTGGTTTCAACCAAAGCTTCATATTTATTTTTATTATTTCGTTAAACGTATTTTTTTTATATTAAGCAATAGTCGTAGGAGGGTTAAGCTGAGTCAATTGTTAGTCACAACATTCATTTATTCGGTTGACTTAATTTCGCGATTATCTAATTAAACAAAAGCAATTGCAAACTATCAACATCTAATTTTTTTTCCTAATCAAGGTAGGGTAGCCTATAGAAGGATAAACATTCATCATCACTCATACAATGGAATAAATATTTAGATTCACCATCAAGTTCTGGATAATGACGACAGTGAACTGGACAATCTGGAGGGTAGTTAGGTACTTCTTCCACCAGAGGAAGGGACGCAGGCGAGGCCCCATGGCAGCCAGCAAGTAGTAGAGATACATCACGACGTGAACGAAGGAGTTGAGCAGGAACGTCAGTGTTGTGTGGCCGCCTTGGTGAGTATATAATATATATTCATTAATCACTGCAGACAGAAAATTGTAGTGGAATCTCGTCTGTTATTACACACAGCAGTAATTATTGTACTTGTAAGTAATATGAGGCTAGACCTCTCACATGCTGGTTTATTTACGATTTTCATAAGCTCAAACTAACACAGGATGTCTCTAAATACCTTCACACGCACGTACTGTTATGCGTCAGCTTGCAGTTTAATATAGCATTTCTCACACGCATACAGACTGAACTGTGCAATTTGATACCCTATAGAAGTACTGTTTGTAGAGTTTCTTCACGTCTTTAAAATTATAAGCACAGTAGATAATTTAATACCTTATATAACATTTATATTCGGACCACAAGCAAGATAATCAGGAGAGAGTGTTGACTCACCGGAATAATATCTGATCCCATACCACATACACACTGGCATTAGTGCGTGATGACATACATGGAGCAGAGATACGTGTTTGTTCTTCTTATGCAGCACGAAAAACACCTATAAGAAGGAACGAATGTATTTTAAATAGCCTTTAAAATTAAGATTCTCATATACTTTTAGGGGAAGTTAGGGAGAGAAAAAATACTCAAGCAGTTCCGAAGGAAAAAACAGCTAATTTTTTCTTATACTACATTAATATGAAGCACTAGATTCGTATGGGACATTCATCACAAGGAAGTAGGTGGAGTTTCGACCCTCCGTCTGATAATGGTGTGAGAGACAGCACTGACATGCAGTTACTGTCACCAGGAAGCAATCAAGTTTACTCTAGTATTTAATTATATAACCAGCTAAAGGGAAGGGAGATGAGAGAACTGCTGCTACTGCTGTAACTACTACTACTACTACTACTACTACTACTACCACTACTACTACCACTACTGATGCTGCTGCTACTACTACTGTAACTACTGCTACTACTGCTACTACTACTGGTACTGCTACTACTGCTGCTACTACTACTACTACTGCTGCTGCTGCTATACTACTGTAACTACTACTCTGCTGCTGCTCTACTACTCTATACTACTACTGTACTACTGGTAACTATCTACTTACTGCACTACTACTGTACTGCTACTACTACTGCTACTACTACTACATACTACTTGCTACTACATACTACGTTCTACTACTACTTGCTACTACTACTTACTACTGCTTACTACTTCTACTATATCTACTACTACTCTGCTCTACTACTCTACTACTACTACACTACTCTACTACTACTATCTACTAGCTGCATCTACTACTATATGACTACTGACTGCCTTTTTTTTATACTACTAACTATACTCTACTTACTTACTACTACCACTACTCTACTTACTACTACTACTGCTACTACTACTACTACTGTACTATACACTACTAATACTACTTACTTACTACTACTACTAACTATCTACTACTGCTGCTACTACTGTAACTACTTATGCTACTACTACTTGCTGCTACTTACTCCTGCTATACTCTTGTATACTATATATGCTACTAACTACTGCTACTAACTCTCTAACTACTGACTACTACTACTACTGCTCTACTACTGACTAATACTACTACTACTGCTGACTACTACTACTAGCTACTATATATGCTCTACTGCTACTACTACTACTGCTCTACTACTCTACTACTACTACTACTATCTACTACTATCTACTATACTACTATTGCTACTACTACTACACTACTGCTATATTCTACTCACTACTATGCTACTACTACTACTCTGCTACTACTGCTACTACTACTACTGCTACTACTATCTACTACTACTTCTACTACTACTACTACTGCTACTACTGCTACTACTGACTTACTACTACTACTACTACTACTTACTATGCTACTACTACTATGCTACTACTGCTACTACTACTACTACTACTGCTACTATACTATGTGCTATTACTACTACTACTGCTACTACTACTATTGCTACTACTACTACTAACTTGCTACTACTACTCTACTAACTACTACTATACTGCTACTACTACTACTACTGCTACTACTACTACTGCTACTACTACTACTACTGCTACTACTACTACTGCTACTACTATTGCTACTAGTACTATTACTACTACTGCTACTACTACTACTACTACTGCTACTATTGCTACTACCACTACTGCTACTACTGCTACTACTACTACTACTACTACTACTACTACTGTTACTACTACTACTACTACTATTGCTACTACTACTACTGCTTCTGCTGCTACTTTTACTATTATTAATAATATAAGAAAAGGCTAAATCCGTAGGGTGTCATACAGTGCCTGGCGAATAAGAGGCAATCATGAATGATACCTGTAAGGGGAGGAAGGAACACCACCCACTCCTTGGATCAAGAGCATCTTCACCGACATCCATACACCTCCACTCGACCTCTAACGTAATTAAAAAAAAAACAGACTGATATTGTGATAAGCAATCACGTTAAGCTCTAAACCCGCATGGGTGATGCAAGGAGTGCTGGAGGCTCGCACCTCCGTCCTCGGATCACGAGACAGGTTGTAATAACACTCACCGTGTCAATAAAGTCCACGAACTTGGAAAACAGATACCAGTATCCAGCGTGCACCATCTGTGACAGGAAATGGACATGATGGTTCAATAAATCTTTTTTATTTTGGAAAATGTTTGATAATTTTATTATAAACATGAATAGATTATAACCTAAAAAAATAAAGAAAGTGGAAAGCTTTCTATTTAAAAAAAAAGGTTAATTAAGGTTTCTCCTTCGAAGATTATTAACAATATTTAAGTGTCAATATTGATTTTAAACAAAAACTGGAAAGTGCACAAAAATTGATCTCAACATAAACGTGGTAAGTAGCATCAATATTGATCTCAAACATAAACGTGGTAAGTAGCATCAATATTGATCTCAAACATAAACGTGGTAAGTAGCATCAATATTGATCTCAAACATAAACGTGGTAAATAGCATAAATTTTTGATCTCAAACAAAAACGGGGGTAAGTAGCATCAATATGATCTCAAACATAACTGGTGGGGCTTCAATATTGATCTCAAAAAAAAACGGGGTAAGAGCATCAATAGATCTCAAACAAAAACGTGGTAAGAGCATCATATTGATCTCAAACATAACGGGTAAGTAGCATCAATTTTTCAAAAAAACGGGGTAAGTAGCTCAATATTGATCCAAACAAAAACGGGGTAATAGCTAAATATTGACCCTCAAACATAAACGTGGTAAGTGCATCAAATTATCTCAAACAAAACGTGGTAAGTAACATCAATATGATCTAAAACCCAAAAAGCTTTTTTCTTAGCTTTTCTCGTTATTCTAGAAAATTAAAGCCAGAGCCCAAAGAGTTTAAGTATTCAGTATTGAGAAAGTGTAACTCTCTAGTGAGTCACTCGGGTCATGAAATTTTCTGATCTGAACTGACCAAAATTTACTTTTTAAAATCCCCAGGCATTTAATTTTCACTTTTTCCTCCTTTTTATATTTCCCTAAAACAGCAGTTTTTTTTGGCAAATTAAAAAATTTCAATTTAAAATTTAAATAGCTCGTCCATAAAGGGCCTTTTAACATGCTACTAGTTTTCAATGTACTTTTCAACTGGATTAACAAAAAAGGGCCATAGTTTTTGAGATTTTAAAAAGATTACTGTACTTAAAATCCTTTTTTTATAGTAACAAAACCAAATTTTTTTTCTTATATAGGGACCCGGGAAAAAACTTTTGTTATTATTATTATAATGAAAAGTTATATTTATGTGTTAGTTTCTTTGCCCAAAATACTTTTTGAATTTCGCATTTGTTATGCGGTTTTTTTTATAGCTTAAATGTACAGTATTTATTGGAAATAAATTTTTTTAGTAAATTTTTTTTGTGGTTGTGCATCCCGACCCCTGCTGGGTGTGGTGGTGGGGTGACACTTTGAGTACTGTTGGTGTGACTTTGTACCCATTACCTACATATTGTATCACCCTGAACCCTGTTGGTTGAGCTATGTACCCATTACCCTAAAAATTGTTCACCTGAACCCTGTTGGTGTGAGCTATGTACCCCTCACCTACATATTGTATCACCCTGAACCATGTTGGTGTTTAGCTATTACCCTCCCTACAAATTTTATCACCTGAACCACTTTGGTGTGGCTATGTACCCATCCCTACATATTGATCACCCTGAACCCTGTTTGGTGTGGGGCTTGTACCCATCACCAATATTGTATCACTTGAAACCCCTGTTGGTGTGAGTATGTACCCCCTACCTACTATTGTATCCTCTGAACCCCTGTTGGTTAGCTATGTACCAATCACCTACATATTGTACACCCCGAGCCATTTGCTGGAGTAGTACCCCCCACCCCCTATTGTATCACCCCGAACCCTGTTGTGTGAGCATGTCCCTCCTAATTTGTTACCCGGCCACTGTTGCTGTGAGCTATGTACCCCTCACCTACATATTGTATCACCCGAGCCCCTGTTGCTGTAGTATGTACCCCCCCTACATATTGTATCACCCGAACCCCCGTTGGGGGAGTATTTCCCTCCCTACATATTTTACACTCTGAAAACCCCTGTTGGGGTGGTATGTACCCACAACCTAATATTGATCACTCTGAACCCCTGTTGGGGTGAGCTATGTACCAATACCACATATTTTTCACCCGAGCCACTGTTGCGTGAGCTATGTACCCTCACCTACATAGTTACCCGAACCCTGTTGTGGAGCTATTACCATCACCTACATTTGTATCACCCCGAGCACGTTTCTGTGATATGTCCCATCACCTACATATTGTACCCCTGAACCCCTGTTTGGGGTGGTTTGTACCCTCACCTACTTTGTATCACCCTGGACACGTTTGCTGTGAGCTATGTACCCCCACCTCTATTGTATCATCGAACCACTGTTGGGGTGGCTATGTACCAATCACCTACATATTTTATCACCCCTGGCCATGTTGCTGTGAGTATGTACCCATCACTACATATTGTTCACCCTGAACCCCTGTTGGTGGAGCTATGTACCCATACTACATTTGCATCACCCCAACACTGTTGCTGTGAGCTATGTACCTCACCTACTATTGTTCACTCTGAACCCTGTTGGTGGGAGCTATGTACCCATCCCTACATATTGATCACCCTGACCCCTGTTGCTGTGGTATGTACCCATTACCCACTATTGTTCACCCCGAACCATGTTGTTGTGAGCTATGTCCCCTCACCCACATTTTGTATCACCTGAACCCTGTTGTGTGGCTATTACCCACCCCTACAATTGTATCACTCTGAACCATGTTGGGGTAGCTTTCCCCTCACCCCACAAAGTTACCCTGAAAAACCACTGTGGGGTGAGCATGTACCCATCACCTACTATTTTATCACTTGAACCCCCGTTGTGTGACTAGTACCCATCACCCACATTTTGTACCTCTGAACCCCTGTTGGTGTGAGTTGTACCCATCACCTACATATTGTATCACTCTGAACCACTGTTGGTGTGAGCTATGTACCCATCACCTACATATTGTATCACCCTGAGCCACTGTTGCTGTGAGCTATGTACCCATCACCTACATATTGTATCACTCTGAACCACTGTTGGTGTGAGCTATGTACCCATCACCTACATATTGTATCACTCTGAACCACTGTTGGTGTAAGCTGTGTACCCATCACCTACATATTGTATCACTCTGAACCACTGTTGGTGTGAGCTGGTCATCTAAATACTTTGTCATGCTGAGAGCTGTTTCCTCCTCCATAACAAAAGATAATTTAAATAATCAGTAACAACTTACCCTGACCGCTTGAGGGTTGTCGGAGAAATCACATCTCTGGCATAAGATGGAGTAGCTACCGAACCAGCCGCCCATACCAGCCTGGGAACGAAAAAAAAAAGTAGATAGATTGACGAATAAGATACGTCTGTCACAGATGTTGCACAAGTATCTTATTCATCAGCATGACTGTATGGTATACCATTAGTGGTATACTCATTAGCATCTGTGTGCAGGATGAAATGGCGTATTGATGATAAATAAGAACACAGACAAGTTGAAAAAACTCTACACACAGCGATACGTACCAAGAAAAGTTTGTCCTGCAACTTTTACATCTGTCTTCAATATCTGCCTTTAACTGATATCAATTATTTACGTAAAGATACCTCTGCTATTATGATTGTGTGAAATAGTTCCAAAAAACTGGGGCAACGAAAGTATAAAATTAATAAATGTTCACGTGTTTACGTTTGCCGATAGTTCGTGGTGCACTCCATACTCATCCTGTGAACGGTAGCGCAAGGGAGTTAATTAACGGGACCACATTTATTTGTTACAAAGAAATTTCGGATACTTTCTCAAAATATCTGATATCTACTTTTCTATTAATAAGATATCATGTCACATCATGTTCCTTTGTTGTCCATCTACATAATCCTCAATTAATGGAGAATCAAGTACACAGTGTTAAACAAAGTAACCAAAAGACCGACCATGTACTTTATTTTAGTTTAATCATTGTATGTGTGTCTGAAACACTCGTAACTAAGCCTCAGCCTGGCTAGTACAACTTCCATCATTCTATTACATTTCAAATTTCTCTGTAAATGTGCTTATCTCTATTCATATTATCGTGGGTTATAGATCTACTCAGGCTTGTTACTGCAGACCTTTGACATTCGAATTAATTTTCTATTCTCTCGTAACATAATTTCTAACACATGACACAGAAAGACAAATGTTATTATGAAGTTTCTGCTTTCAAAGTACTTTCTTTCAATAATTTTTCAGCTTTATCATATAGAAATGATTCTATAATAAATCTCAACGGAAAGCTTTTATTCTAATCATATAATTGATAAAGATTATAGTATCTGCGGCTACATTACTGTTTCTTAAGACTGTGTGTTAAATATTTTTTGTAAAGTAAAAGGACACAAGTGCAACTAATGTGACATTTATTGTGGCAACGTTTCGCTCTCCAGGAGCTTTATCAAGCCATTACGTAATGGCTTGATAAAGCTCCTGGAGAGCGAAACGTTGCCACAATAAATGTCACATTAGTTGCACTTGTGTCCTTTTACTTTACATATTGTCGGTAATTCTACCAACTTTATTACAAATATTTTTTGTATTATGCTCAGGGGAATGCGCTTAACCCTTAGGGAAAACTGGAAAGTAATCAGGTTTGAGCCAAGGAACGGGAGATAAACTCAAACTTCTCGAGTCAAAACGCTTTCACCAGCATCACAACACCCTCCTTGGAGGGTGTATATTAAATAACGAAAGGAGGGAAAGAGGTGTACTTACCTCCCAGAAGATGCGAGCAGAAAATATGACTTGGAAGACGTTGTAAGCCATCATGACGTTCCTGAGCCTGGCGAAAGGCTTCCTGGTGCTCATGTACTGAGGTCCCCACCAGGTGACGGTCCCCACGTACAGGAGACATGCGAGGATAGTGGGTAGAGGAGAACTCATGAGGAGCCATGAGTGCTGACGTGGGTCTGGAGTCAACTGGCGGGCCACGGTCAGGTCTCCATACATATAACTGAGTATAACAAGCACTGCTACTAACTTTCCCGTGGCCTTTAGTTGCCGTAATGTCTCTGCCAAAGACAAAAGTAATTCCGAATAGGGTTTTCTAATGCCGTGAAAAGATAAAAATATGCAAGAAGCGCTATGGAAGGAACGTTTGAGAGGGAAGACTTGCCAACAAGTCCAGTCAAGTGACACTGTGCCCAGCAGACTTTTATTATTAAACTTCATTAGACTCTAAACAGAGCTTCATCAAGTCACTGTTAGAAGTTGGAGTGACTTCATAAACCAGTGTTTAGTGTGAAACATCGTCTAAGTGCAGGAATACTCTGCATATAAAGTGTTTTTCAACCATGCAAATTATAATGGTCTCACTCACGCATAACAACCATTGCATCAGTCAGTAGCGAATTTACACATTCCTGTCTAAGACCTACTTTTACTAAACACATTCTCCCTTTCTCCTTGAAAACTTACCTGAGTTTCACAATCTTCTTAACTAATTTAGATAACCTACCACCTACTCTATACACTTGCAACATTTATTTCATATTCACCCGGTCATATGCCTTTTCTATATCCCTGTACACAATGAAAACTTCCTTATCTTAATCTATTTTTTTAGTTTTAATAAAAACACGTGGTCAATACATCCCCAACTTTTCCTAAAATCTTGTCCATCTGTGATCCTGTTTTCCGTCTTAATCTTAATTCTTTCAAAAACTTTACCTCACTCCAAAACTTCTCTTATTCTCGGCAAAATTTGTTGACAAAATTTCACCCCTCTTCATTTGCTCTAGTTTTTACACTCACCCCATTATCTTACCCTCCATATTCAGTCAGCACTAAATATCATACAGCTTCATATCAGTTCCGAATATCATTCTGTTCCCGATCACTTCCGAAAATCATTCAGTTCCATATCAGTTCCTAACATCATTCAGCTCTTGAATCAATTTTAAATATCATTCTGCTTCGTATCAATTTTGAATATCATTCTGCTGCTCACTTAGGCTCAGTGGACGACGAAGTAATAGCCAACAACAGAAGCCTGAACAAAAGTACTGTCTCATTCTGGCTGTGAAGATCAGACCTTTTATACGAATGCCTTGTTTTCCTGGCTTGCTATGCGAATGCGCTGTATTTGCCGGACTTTTTTGGGTTATCCAGGTTCTCTACACATATGCTGCTATGTATGATAATTCTATGTAACTGTATTTGTGTATACCTGAATAAACTTACTTACTTACTTACTTACTTAAAGCCATCGGCTCAATGAGGGTGCCGTATGTCAGGAAACAGGACAAGTGCTTCCTGACGCAAGTCTTAGTTATACGATGACCCACAGCTGGACATTTTGGTCATTTGACCGAGAACTTCAGCTGGCTTACCGGCCCACCTCTATACAAATCATGGCTCTAGTTATGAGGGTGCTGTATGACACCTGATTTGAATACTTTATCATTAAAATTTCTATTAAAACACACTGAGTGTTTCATACTCTGAGACACACATTCCTAGTATATACAGTCTGACAGACATACATCCCATTGTATATACAATGAGACACATATTCCTCCGATTATTTATAATGACAAACATTCCTCCTAGTGTGCGTATATTAAGAAATATATGCAACTCTCTGTTTATATACACTGATATACACCTTCCGGTATATATACATTGAGAAACATACACCTTTCTAGGTACTTTCACCGATGTATATACACAGATATATCTCACGGTATATATACACTGAGAGACATTCACTATCTGCTGTACATACATGTATAAAACATGCATATACATGGGGTAACCAGATTTGATCCAAGGCAGGGATAGTGGCTCCCACCACTTGGGTTAACAGCCCACCCTCAGCCTGTGTTATGGTTCTAACTGGCTTCACCACACCTGTGGTGTTGTTGTTAGACTGTGGGGCCTTGCCACACCTGTGGTGCCATTGTTAGATTGCGGATCTTGCTACACCTGTCATACCTATATTGCCGTTGGCAGTATGTGGCTCTCTCCACACCTTTAGTGCTGTTGGCAGCATTTTATAAAGACAGTGTTACGCACAACACACACCAGGAGCTGAGTCTCGACCCCTGCAACCACAATTAGGTGAGTACAATTAGGTGAGTACACACACACACACACACAGTCCTAGGACCTGTGCTGTTTTTGGTATATGTGAATGACATAACGGAAGGGGGATGGACTCAGAAGTGTTCTTGTTTGCAGATGATGTGAAGTTAATGAGAAGAATCAAATCGGACGAGGATCAGGCAGGACTACAAAGAGACCTGGACAGGCTACAAGCCTGGTCCAGCAACTGGCTCCTTGAGTTTAACCCTGCCAAATGCAAAGTCATGAAGATTGGGGAAGGGCAAAGAAGACCGCAGACACAATATAGTTTAGATGGCCAAAGTCTGCAAACCTCACTCAAGGAAAAAGATCTGGGGGTGAGTATAACACCGAGCATATCTCCTGAGGTGCACATCAATCAGATAACTGCTGCAGCATACGGGCGTCTGGCAAACCTACGGATAGCATTCCGATACCTCAGTAAGGAATCGTTCAAAACTCTGTATACCATTTACGTCAGGCCCATACTGGAGTATGCAGCACCAGTTTGGAATCCACACCTGGTCAAGCACGTCAAAAAATTAGAGAAAGTGTAAATGTTTACAACAAGACTAGTCCCAGAGCTAAGGGGATTGTCCTACGAAGAAAGGTTGAGGGAAATCGGCCTGAAGACACTGGAGGACAGAAGGGTCAGGGGAGACATGATAACGACATATAAAATACTGCGCGGAATAGACAAGGTGGACAAAGACGGGATGTTCCAGAGATGGGACAAGAGGTCACAATTGGAAGTTGAAGACTCAGATGAATCAAAGGGATGTTAGGAAGTATTTCTTCAGTCATAGAGTAGTCAGGCCGTGGAATAGCCTAGAAAGTGACGTAGTGGAGGCGGGAACCATACATAATTTTAAGGAGAGGTATGATAAAGCTCATGGATTAGGGAAAGAGAGGACCTAGTAGCAATCAGTGAAGAGGCGGGGCCAGGAGCTATGAATCGACCCCTGCAACCACAAATAGGTGAGTACAAATAGGTGGGTACACACACACACACACATACACACATATACACACATACACACATATTCACACACTTTGTACATGTCGTCTTGTCAGAGTACTCGTCAATCCTACAATCGCAATTGATTGACACTTATTATAAGAGACGAGAAGGATGCGCTCACCTTTCTCTTCTGGCTGCGGGATGACTTCCGGCGTCTCGCGGCGGGCGGAGGTAGACGAAGTAGTCATCTTCCAAGAGTAGAGAGTCTGTTCTACTCCAGGTGTGGAGAATTACTCCAGTCCCAGGCGTAGTGGGTCGGTTCTACTCCAGGTAAAGAGTTACTCCAGTCCCAGACGTAGTGGGTCGGTTCTACTCCAGGTGTGAAGAGTTACTCCAGTCCCAGGCGTAGTGGGTCGGTTCTACTCCAGGTATGGGAAGCTGCTTAATCTCCAGGCGGGACAGCGGATCACTTCACCCAGATATTCGTCTGTTCGGGAAGGAACAAAAAAAAAAAAAGAGAAAATTATTGAAAGAGAAGGGCCGTAGATGTTTGATCATTATATTTTAACGTTAGCTAGAGATACAGCTAACGCTTGAACTAGAGCTAGAGTTAGAGCTAAGGCTAGAGTTAGAGCTAGAGTTAGAGCTAGGGCTAGAGCTAGAGGTAGAGCTAGTGCCTAGAGGCATGGGCTAGAGCTAGAGTTACACCTCAGGTTACAGCTAGAGGAAATCCAGCACATGCGTTATTATTGTCATCATGGCAAAACGATAAGTCTGTGAGGAGAGTAAACAAGGCCCACACACTGCGGGTTAACAGCATTTTATCGTGAAAATAGTTCGTCACGTGTCGTCCACCGGGGCTTCATTGTCTCTTGTGGGAGAAACGTCCTAACAATAGAATGCCCTTATTCCTCAGTGTGTTTTGTATACATTCATTCGATATTCTTCGCCTCTGAATTATTTACAAGTCAATGAGGGGTTATATAGCGCCTGGGGAATGGAGGTAAACAGGTTTAAAGAAAGCAAGAGTAATTTCCGTTCTTTATATCAAGACCCCCCCTCAAGGAAGGTTCCTTGATGTTGGTGAGGGGCTCTTGATTTAGGGAATTGGATCTGTGCTCCAGTTCCCCGAATTAAGCCTGAATGCCTTCCACATCCCCCCCCAGGCGCTGTATAATCCTCCGGGTTTAGCGCTTCCCCCTTGATTATAATAATAATAATAATAATATATCAAGACCCATTCACCGGCGTCAAGACCACGCCCATGAAAGGTGGAGTGCAAGTAGAATGGTCTCATTGGGTTAAACAAGTAGTGAAAGTGAATGTTGTAGTTTATGCGTCAGGGTATAAACACTGACAGGGGTCTTTATCTTAACCAGTTCTATGATGACGGCCCTATGCCGGGGTGAGGCAGGACTGTGGTGGCAAATACAAGAAGTGAATAATTTTTAGTAACTGGATGGTTAGCAAGATGAACAAGCAACCGTCGGGAGAAAGGTGAGGGAGAGCCAGAGAACGAGCAGAAGGGGACGAGGAAGCAAGGTGTGAATTTCAGAAGACTGAACTATATTTTGCAAGAAAAGGTTGTGTTGTAACAAGAGGAGGAATAATTGGTGGAATGAGAAGGTTAAGAGGCTGGTGAAATGGGGAAAATATTTGCATCTGAAGCTGAGTATATTGTGAAGACAATAGAAGTTTAATAAGTAACGAAAAAATGCAAAAAATAAATGACAGAATCAGTGAATCATTTTCAGCATTTTGCATAATTAGAAAAATGTTTTGGAGAGGGAAAAAAGCACGAGGAAATCTATGGGGCAAATGGACTTGTAAGATAAGAATGAAAATATTGGAAAGCTGGATAAAGACTTGGAGGTATGAAAAAATGGAGGTGGAGATTTTATGCATGGGGCAGAGAGGAAGGGAATCTGTTAAAATGAGGGAAGAGGCAAAAATGAGTACAGTAAAAATAAGTGAAGCAGTAAGTCGATTTAAATATAGAAAAACAGCGAGGATCTATAGGACTAAGAAAACTGAAAACAGATGGAGAATTCTTTTGGAAAGGTTGGTACATTTGTTTAAGGAATGCATGAAAGAAGGGAAAGTACCAAAGGATTGGCAGACAGCATGCATAGTTTCTTCCTATAAATACAAAATGAATACAAGAGTAAACTGTGTGGAATTGAAAACAATACGTATAATTATATACGAAGAAGATTAAGTTAGGAAGGGAGGAGGAAATGTAGATCAAAAGTCTGCATTAAAGAATATAAGAGAACATCATGTAGGTGAAGATATAGCTCGTTGCATTTAGATATTCTGAAAAGATTTATGGTTATTTAACAAGGGAATCGAGGCAGATGGTGCTGCAAATGTGTGAAAAAGGGGATACGTTGCTGAAGGATGTAAAAAAAGATCAGGAGAGCTTTGAACAGATTATGGTAGGCAGGAGAGAAAAGACTTTTTTTTATAGTAAAATTAAGCCTGATATAGAGATGGGTTATATCAACGAAATTGTTTAATCCACTTCATGAGGGAATTTAAAATTAAAGTCAATTATATAGGGATGCTGTGAGGTATCGGAAGATAATGCCTCTTACATAATGTGGGCATTGTTACAGACATGATGACAAGGTGCTTTTGTAAGATTCAAAAAAGATAATGCTGGCTTTCGTGGAAGAAGTTGAGAGGATGTGTAAAAAATGAGGTGAAAAAAATGTGATACATGTCGAGAGGAAGAAGTCTATTGATAGATTAGCATGTCATCTAAGTACAAGGAAGGAGCATTATGCAAAAGACTATACAGTATTTTCTTGTGATAAATGGTTTGAAAACCGACAAGTTGAAGATTGAGACACTTATGTTGCATAATTGTCTCAATATTCAGTATTATCTTGGAGTAAATGTGTAGGCTAAAACGGACCATGAGAGATGAATCCCAAAATGCAAGGGAAGGAACATAGAAAAGGTGAAAATAAGGAAATGTGTCACTGGCATCACAAAGTGCAAAGATGCAACGAAGTGGAAGCTGAAGGCAGAGGAGATACCGTGACGGAGTTTCATATGTGATGTGGGTATTACTAAGAGAATAAAGAGTGAAGAAATTGGAAAAATTGAAATAGAACAAAGCGTATAATTCAGAGAGCTAATCAGGGTTGCTGAGAGAGTTGGATCATTTTCAAGGATTTGGAGTAAATAAGTGTAGCTGACGTTTTAATAAGGGTTAGAAGAAGGGTGCCAGGGAAGTTTTCAAAGGTAGGGTTATGGTACGCAGCAGGCATGTGATAGACGTTAGCACCTACGTCTGCTTCATGACAATTCCCAGATTATTGCCCCTGCGGCCCGGTCTCAGACCAAGTCTCCTGGTGGACCAACCAATTAGCCTGTACATACACAGACAGCCGTCTAGCACAAGCAATATAAAGTGTCAACAATACAATACTAGTGTAGTATGTACTGCGATAACCCCATTTATAAGCAGCCCCCCTAGCCAAGCCTTAGTCACATGACCCCTGTTTGTACCTCGCACGTACGCCTGAGAACCCTCTCCCTCACACTCGACCAGGCCTAGGGGAGAGGCAGACGTGCATAGGCCAGGCTGGCCACGGATATTCAACACAGCGCCTACAATAATAGTTCTACCATCACTTCCCAACCTCGAACTACGACAAAGAGCTCTCGATATGTGAGGTCACTCTGGTCTTCTCACAATTCCCTTAAAATGTAAATTGGAGACGCACTGAAGACTTAAAATGAGATAATTTGCCACAGTTATAGTAACTAATGAGAATACAGCATTCATCAGTTAACCGTAACGTTGTATCACATTAACGTGAAAAATATGAAAGCATTATTAATATCATATTATCATTTTCATAAAGGGGTTAACCAACAGTAACAGCCTGGTTGATCAGACCTTGATCCACCACAAGGCCTGGTCTCAGACCGGGCCATGGGGTCGTTAACCACCGAAATCCTCTCCATGTATACCCAGGTACTCCGAGTGGGCCCCTCAGAGCAAGGAGTGGCGAAGACTCCATCATCTGTAAACAAGAGTGTGTGACACAGGCGCCCGATCATTACCTTACAAACTCGAGGTCGTACCCATATAGCAATACTTTCCATAATTATCATGCTATAACGATGATGTGTTATATCAGCGACATTGTTTACTCCACATAACGACTTGACAAAGATCCTGGAGACCGAAACGTTGCCACAATAAAAGGTCACATAAGTTGCATCTGTGTCCATTTACCTTCGATCATGATTCTGATTAGCAGGCAATTTTCTAATAAATAAAACCCGTTTTGAGTAACAAAAATAGGGGAGAATATACTGGTGCTCGGAGAAGACGATAGGAAAAACTTGCTGGTTGCCCGGAGAAAAACTCTCATGTTTTTAATACTGGAAGAAAAACTTGTCTGTCAGCGAACCTGACTCAATACTTGCATCCTTGCCCTTGACTTTCAGCACAAGCGTGCAAACACACACACACACACAACACACACATACATACACACACACTGTGTACGTTTGGCCCATATTGGAATATGCAGCGCCAGTTTGAATGAGGAAACTAGAGAAAGTGCAAAGGTTTGCAACAAGACTAGTCCCAGAGCTAAGAGGTATGTCCTTCGAGGAGAGGTTAAGGGAAATCGACCTGACGACACTGGAAGGCAGGAGAGTTAGGGGGAATATGATAACGACATATAAAATACAGAGAGGTATAGACAAGGAGGACAGAGACAGAATGTTCCAGAGATGGGACACAGCAACAAGGGGTCAAAGTTGGAAGATAAAGACTCAGATAAATCACAGGGATGTGAGGAAGTATTTCTTCAGCCATAGAGTTGTCAGGAATTGAAATAGTCTGGGAAGTGATGCAGTGGAGGCAGGATCCATACATAGCTTTAAGAAGATGTATGATAAAGCTCATGGAGCTGGAAGAGTGACCTAGTAGCGACCAGTGAAGAGGCGGGGCCAGGAGCTGTGGATCGACCCCTGCAACCACAACTAGGTGAGCACACACACACGTGTAAGGATGTTTGGAAATACTGCTTGAGCCTTAGAGTGTTCAAGAAATGGAGTAACCTAGAAAGCGAAGTGGTAGAGGCGAGCTCCATACATAGTTTTAGGAATAGGTACGATAGGATTCACGCAGCCAGGAGAAACTTAAGTCAGTGGCGGCCAGCAAAGAGGCTGGGCCAGAGGCTGAGACTCAAATCTTGCAACCACAACTAGGCAAGTACAATTAAGGAAAATCGCTATACTCAAATGGGTCATAAAGCGCCTGGGGGGAACGAGAGGCAATCAGGTTTGATC